AAGTATGGACCACTTAATGTTAATTTTACCTTTAGCGTATTTCGCTATATACGAGAACTTTTTAGGCGAATTGATGAATTTTTGTAAGCAGATATGTAATTTCGTTTAAACAAAGATAATTCCTTGCAAAAACTAAATTTTAGACAATATTTATTATTTTTATTATTTTATTCAATAATAGTCGAATGAACTTTTAATTGTAAAGTATAACATTTTTACGTCATTTTAAAGAATGTAGTTTTTCATGGCAAAATACAAAATCTGAGCAAAATCGGTCGAATAGTTCCTGAGAAATCGAAAATTTAATATTACTATATAATTATTAATATAGAGTCGCGATGGCTCAGTGGTTAAGGCACCGAACTATCATTGTGAAGATCTGGGGTTCGAACCCCGGTTTCGGCTTGAAGCTCATTCAGCTTCAGATCTTTGGAATAAATGCGGCTTGTGCACAGAGCTGACCACATTGTCACAATCTTGCCGTTCGTCTCGAAATTGTAGAGACTTAAACTCTATGAACCCCCTGCCCCACAACTGTCTGTTGTGAGAATGCTTTTTATATTAAAGGAGGTGATTACGAAGCACCTTTAAAAGTTCTTTTGGTTAATTAAAGTTTTAATATACTGCTGAACTAGTATAACTATTTCAACTTCTACAGATTATTTATTAGTAAGAGTTTTAACCAAGGTTATTATTTTTATTATTTAATTAGGTTTACATTTGATAAGAAGATTAAATTAGCAGCATTTGAAATGTATCTTTGACATTCNAAAAAAATGTAATGTGAAGTAAGAGTTTTAACCAAGGTTATTATTTTTATTATTTAATTAGGTTTACATTTGATAAGAAGATTAAATTAGCAGCATTTGAAATGTATCTTTGACATTCAGACATGTTTTTATTTAAATCAAATACCATAAGAACTATATTTTAACTATTCCCAAAATTACTGTGTGATTGTATCCTTTAAGAGAATTTTTCAGGCTATTAACTTTTCGATTCTCGACTTTTAAGAATTTTTTAGTCTTTTATCTTCTTTATTTTCGCTATTTTTGAAATTCTTCGAAATGTTTATTTCTTCGAATTTCGTAGTTTTCGAAGAAAATTGCAATAGAGTTCAGTGACTTTGTGTGACCAATTTGCATTCCTATTCAAATCACTCTTTTTAAAATCATGTGATTTTTCAGTAAAATAAACGTAAATGCGCATTAATTTCTTAATTGATGAAATATCTTAAGTTTTGAATCTTTTATTTAGAAAAAAATTAATAATTTTAATAATTTATTATTTTTATTTCTAATATATATTTTTAAACTTATCACTCTTTCTAGAATACTTTGTAGCACTTACTTAAATAATTTCAGAAATGTCTAACCTCCATACAACGAAATTTTCTCTGTAACGAAGTTTTCAACTGGAACCAATAAAATTTGTGTCAGCTTTTTGATTAGATTATCTATATTTTTTATTCTTATATCGCTTTAGACACTTTAATTAATTAAGTAATGAAACAAATCTATAAGAATTTAGATTTCAGACTGATAAAATTAAACGTCGATTTGGTATAAATCTTATTTTAATAGCGTTTTGCGGGATAAAACCAATCTTGTTGGCTTACAATCTCCGAAAAATGAATAAAACAAATGAATTCAGCTGAGCAATATTACAATTCCGCGAGAAGAAACGATGTTTCATGTGAATCGCAGACTGATAAAGTTAAACGTCGATTTGGTATAAATATTATTTTAATAGCGTTTTGCGGGATAAAACCAATCTTGATGGCTTACAATCTCCGAAAAATGAATAAAACAAATGAATTCAGCTGAGCAATATACCGATTCCGCGTGAAGAAACGATGTTTCATGTGAATTGCAGACTGATAAAGTTAAACGTCGATTTGGTATAAATATTATTTTAATAGCATTTTGCGGGATAAAATCAATCTTGATGGCTTACAATCTCAGAAAAATGAATAAAACAAATGAATTTAGCTGAGCAATATAACGATGCCGAGTGAAGAAACGATGTTTCAAGTGAATCGCAGACTGATGAAATTAGACGTCGATTTGGTATAAATATTATTTTAATAGCATTTCGAGGGATAAAATAAATCTTGATGGCTTACAATCTCAGAAAAATGAATTCAGCTGAGCAATATAACGATGCCGAGTGAAGAAACGATGTTTCATGTGAATAGCAGACTGATAAAATTGGACGTCGATTTGGTATAAATATTATTTTAATAGCATTTTGAGGGATAAAATCAATCTTGATGGCTTACAATCTCAGAAAAATGAATAAAACTAATGAATTCAGCTGAGCAATATAACGATGCCGAGTGAAGAAACGATGTTTCATGTGAATGGCAGACTGATAAAATTAGACGTCGATTTGGTATAAATATTTTTTTAATAGCATTTTGAGGGATAAAATCAATTTTGATGGCTTGCAATTCTCAAAAAAATGAATAAAACAAATGATTTCAGATGAGCAATATAACGAAGCCGCGTGAAAAAGCGATGTTTCATAGGAATCGCGATAACGATATTTTAAAATGTATTCTATTAAACAATGTCTTACTTGAAATAGCGAATGTACCGTAACTACTGACAATTATTATCGACAACGGAAAACCTCAAATACTTTAATGTTGTGCATATTATTGAAAATGATCATGGTAATAATGTAGCAACAATAAATGCAGCGATTATTATAGACAATTATGGGTATTGAATACTATAGTATTGTAATTTCTAAAGATAACGATAACTATCGAATTCTATCTTATAGTGAATGTTGATAAATTTAATCTAGATATTGAAAATATTGACAAATGTAAGTTTGTGAAAGTGGAAAAATATCGCGATATATCTGGATATATCGATATTTTTTGCTTGTTTATTAAACTTACTATATTGCGCAGCACTATAAATGAATTTCATTACGTTTAAATTAGATAAGCACTTTTAAAACAAATTAATTAAAAAATAAAAACTAATTGTTTTTTTCGTTCGTAAAAGCCATTCTCAGAAAACAACTAAGAATGGTGATAAATTTCATTAAGATAATGAAAATATTGACTCGTGTAAATTTGTTAAATTGCAAAAATATCGCAATATATCAGGAAATATCAATATTTTTTGCTGGTATATTAAACCTACTATATTGCGCAGCACGAAAAATGAATCTTATTACGTTTAAATTAGATAAACACTTTTAAAACGGATTAATTAAAAAAATAAGAACTGATTTTGTTTTTTCGTTCATAAAAGCCATTCTTAGAAAACTGTCAATATAGAAACATTACTTTTAGTATTTGGTCAAGGTTAAGGCTGTTCATTTATGTAACTTCTTGGTCAAGGATGAGATCAGTTTGCCTTAAAAATGTATACCCAGAAATCTAAGAGAACGGTTTTTAAAGACCGTTAAGGTCAACTCAAGAAAAAACAGAAAAAACTATCTAGACTGAATAAAAAAATGTAATGTGATATATTAGAATGAAAAAAGAAATAATTACTCGGGATATCAACTCAAATTTGTCGCCTAAGCCAGCTGCTCTTAATGAATGAAAGCAGAATAAAAAATTGAAGTTTTTAGTGAATGAATGCGTATCATTTCACCTTACTCCAATTGTACTGAAAGGGTTACAATCACCTCATTAGAAGAGTGCACTTTTCCCGGGTTTCATAATTCGGCCAATCAGAGAAAAGTACTTCAACGCAAGTCAACCAATGGAGCGTCTGGGAGTTCTTTCGGTTTCCAAGTTTTCGGTTTTTGACTGGTTTCTCGTGATTCTTTTTGTTTGTTTACTTTTTATAGTAATCACGCCTACAATGAATATTTTCTTATGAATTTTTTTTTCTTCACAACGTAAGCAAAAGCTAATTTCGAAATCATAAACGTAAATAATCATAAGAGTTGAAGCGAGGTAGGTTTAAATGATCTGAAAGTTCAAGACGAAAATATAAAGTAAGTTTAAAATTATCGATTATTATGGTTTCGTTAAAATAACTTTTAATCTTGTTAAATAGTTTTGATTTAATTAGTTATTACCTGTAAGCCAACTGTATTAAATTTTTAACAAAATGCAATTTAAATTTTTACTTATTAACATTAAAATTGCAATTTCTTACTGATTAAACTTAAATTTTTTTAATGCATTGAAATGATGTAATGTATTTTTTTTACAATTAACAGAAACAAGCATGCTTGTATTAAAAATAAAACCTTATTTTGCACAATTCTGTTGCAAGTTTGCATATTTATGCTGCAACTTTTGAATCAAGCTTACGTTTTATAACTCCTGTACTAATGTAAAGATTTTCCTTTTTCCTTTTCTACGTGAAATTTTGACCCTTATTTCTGATATTTAGTGAAAATTGAACGTAATTAAAATTTTAATTCATATGGAAATAAAAACAATTACATGCTACTTTTGGAATTTGTTTTTTGCCAAATATTAAAATAATTCTTAAAAAGAAACTCCGTTACAAATAAATATAATTAAAAATATGATATCAAACAATATAGGATTAGAACAACAATTTGACAAAGTTTGAAAAATACTTACATGTAGTTTTAAAAACTATTTCTATACAACAAACTATACATGTACATATAGTTTGAAAAATATTAAGAAATTTATTTTTTTCAAAATTGCATTTCATTCAATCTCCAATCTTGCAGTTTTTAAACTAACATGATTATGATAATAATGTCAGACGATGGTATGTAAATATATTGCATCTTTCAAATTTATTTTAACTGCTTAAAATCAAGATTGAAATTAAGAAAAAGGTTTTGTAAATTTTTTATAAGAAAAACAAACTACGCCCCTTTAAAAAAAATTAAGCATTTATTTAGGATTAATTTTTTAATAACTTTTAAATTCTTAATTTTTTACGTGGCTATTATTTTTCAATTAACGCATAGAATGCATAGTTTGGTGTGAATTTAAATATATTATTGTGAATTTATCTTTTTAATACCTAGGTGAAAAATAAACATGCATTTGGAGCCACCCTATTCAAGCGAAGTAGCATTGTCATTCTCTGATAGTAACCAAACTGAAATATTTTCAAATTTATTCGATTCTGACTACAATTTATCAGAGTGGTACAATTTGACGGAAGTGGACAAGTTATCTGAGTTTCCTTTCCACCTGAACGAAAACGATTCCACTGCAAACGATGAATCACTTCCCAGTGATCTAGCCGAAATTCCTTTCGCAACTTTACTCTCACCCTCTGCAGACATAGATTTTTCAACAGATGAATCATCTCCACTTATACTAGATGGAGAAAGTGATGATGAAGAAGAATTTCTGGATTCACTGATTGAGTCCTGCTCACCTGCCGAATCGAGTGTTAGTTTCGATGGAGAACATTCCTCGTGGCCTACCTGTGCCAAAACATCTTCGTATCCGTATTCACCATCAGAGAGTTATAATAAACCTGCTATTTGGTCACATCTATCACAAGACTTTTCGAACGCAGTTCGAACTGAAGATTTTAATTTTAATAAATTTCAAATTTCAAACTTTGCAACAGACAAGCAGAACCAGTTTGTTGAGAGGATGAAGTTCGGTGGGCTGGATGCAAAGAAAGAGTTTGATAACACGAGCTGTTGCAGAAATGGAACCGATAACATAAACTCCAGCAGCAAAAACGTCATTCAAAATGGAATTGTTAGTTCTTCATCCGATCCATCCGTTGCAACAAATATAAATGTCAGGAAGAGACTGGCTGACATGATTGGAGCAGCTAAGCTTGGAAACAACGGCTATTACCAAAATCGTCAGCAAGCCAATAACTGGGAAACTAAATCATCAAACTTAAATGCTTCGGAACATTTTTCTTTTAATTTAAATCAAAATCACGTGACATCAACAGACTTTTATCGAAATGCAAATTTTGGAAAGAACAGGACCATTCTAAAATGCGTTGAATCTTCGAGTAAAGAAAAAGACTTTAAATCCAATCCTTCCAAAGCCCAAACTCATGCGCAAGTTTCTTTTACGTGTTATTGGATAGATTGCAATGCGAAGTTTCCAAGTCAAAGTTCCTTGGTGAGACATATTGAGAAGTTTCACGTTGACCAGTGCAAGAGAGAAGATTTTAGCTGTCTTTGGATTGGTTGTCCACGAAAACTGAAACCATTTAATGCCCGATACAAACTTCTTATCCATATGAGAGTGCATTCAGGTGAAAAACCGAATAAATGTATGGTAAGTTTTCAAATTTAACGTATCTATATTCAGAAATATGATTTGTTTTAATTAGAAAGTTTTACTGTATTATATTTTTTTATAGAAACATTTGATATATATATATATGAAATTAAACGAAAGATTATGGAAATTATTTTGTTTTGTTTGTTATAAAAACATTAAAGGAAATTAAATGTTTAGAAATTAGTATAATAAAAAATTAGTATAATAAAAAAAGCGTGCTTGAAGAGCAGAAGAAAGCGTTGATGATATACTTATGAGAAACGTAACATTAAAAGAATGCGTAGGAGGCGTGCTGTCATACGTGTTGTTTTTTAAAAGTATATTTTTTTATTGAATGTTGTTTATTTCATTAACTTATTATTGACTAAAAATAATTTTTTTTATAGAGGAATTATTTATAAAGATTTTTATAATTGATTTAAATTTTAAAGATTTTACGCTAGAAAAAATTTAAAATGGATTTAACTTCATAGGGAGCGAAGCGAACATGTTTTGACAAGTAAACCGTATAATCTTCTAGAGATGGGGAGCGTTAGCGTGAAGCCCACTAGTGTTAAATACTTATCATATATCCATGAATACTTATAGAATAGTAAAATATTAAATGTCTGGGATTAAAACTCAATCTCTGGGATTAAAACTCAAACTATTAAAACTCAATCATTTTTTAAAAGTAAATATGCAGTTTTACTCGTTTACATCTTCTTATGCTTCACTTAATCCAACACATTTGTTCAAATTTTGCATTTTTTGGGGAGTAAAATCTTATTCGCACATAGGGATTTAAGTCAATTATTCAAAAGCTTTATAATAGATCCATAACATTTTTCAAATTTCAAGATGAAAATAAATTCGTCCATTTACTTCGAATGAAAAGATTTTTATTTTGTTCAAAATGAAAATTTTGAATTATAAAATGGATAGGTTAGAAAACATCATACTACTTTTATCATTAAAAACTTTTTTCTGAAACGGAGATAAGCTACGAAAACTAAATAAATAATGGGAAATTCATTCATAAGTCTATAAGTGCTATGAGATAGTTTTCTTTTTAAAATTCCACTTTAATTTTAATGCGTCTTGCATGGAGAATTTTAAACTTAAAATACTAAATATTTTCCAGTAAAAGAATTTCGTTGCATGTTTGTAATAGGTACGTGTAAAAAGTTTAAGAACGCACACGTTATGGCAAATATTTAAATTAAAGGAAAGAACTTTCAAAAAAGTAATGTATTTTAATGCTTACTAAAAAGCAATGCATTTCTACGTTTGTGAAAAAACAATGTATTTTAATGTTTGCCAAAAATGTATTTAGTAAAAAAAAATATTTAACATAAAATGTTTTAATGTAAGTAGATTTACTAATAGATTTAATTAATTTAATATAAATTATAGTAGACAAGATAAATTTTAATACATTTAACTATTAAATGTAGTGGAAAACTATAAGTTTACTTAAATTCAGTTTAATGATTCAGAGATAAATATATAATGTTTGTTCAATTAACGACTATTGTTTTCTCATTTCCTCAAAAAAAGGTTATTTTCATTAATATAATAAACCTTGTGATATAATCTCGTAAGAATTAGAAATTTTGAGGAATTTTGAACTCTATTAACATTCTATTCTTTTAAAAATACTACTGTTTTATCATGCCCTAAAAAATCTTATTTTATTAATATAATTAACCTCGAGACATAATATCTCTAGAATCTTGAGGCATTTTGAATACAAATAATATTCAAATTCAATGCAATCTTGATTCAGTATCAATTTGAAGCAATTTATAGTGCTAATTAAACTATGTTGATCCTTGCATGATTGCATAAAATGCGTGTAAAAAGTTTGAGGATACTCAAATTAATGCACATATATTTAAATTGAAGAAAAGAACTTTTTCAAAAGCAGTGCACTTCGAAAGTTTTTTTTTACTCGATTTCTATGAACTTAATAATTGTTTGATCGTATTGACTTGATTCTTTATATATTCAAAAATAAATGAATGGCATCATGTTGTTGTCGTGTCTATGGAAGTGCTAAATATTTCCAAAAGTTTAGAGAGTGAGTTTTGAACCTGAAGACTGTAATAGGGTGTTTTCTGGTGGCTGAGGCTAGTTCAAAAATTTTTTTTGTCTGAAGGAATCTTTATGTTCTTGAAATGGCTCTTCTTGACTTCTCAGCTACCCCGAATGCTATGACATTACAGTTAGCATAAAATATTGCACTATCCATAGAAGATGGTTGCCATTGTCCCTTAGGGGTTTTTATTTTATTTTTTAATCGTCGTTGAACAGTCGACTCAATTATTTGAGTTTATGACTACTAATGTTCAACTTCGTAGCCTTGTAATTTTTAACCCAATCCAGAAGACAAGGGAACTCCTGGATCGAGTATTGGGAGAAATTTAATTTCGAGGAGGACTTTCTGATGGAGATAACCCGCATTTGCATTACGCGGAGAAGAAAACCACCAAAATCTGACACGGTTAGCCTGACGGCAATGGGAACTCTAACCCATTATCCGTCTTCCGCTGAAGATATCACTGTGGTCGGCGCGCGCCTAATGTGAAATTCGTATCGACCAGCCATGGTTGGGATTCGAACCCGATTCACCTCATTGTAAGGTGAACGCTCTACCCCCTGAGCTATCACGGCTCTGTCCCGAGGCTTTTTTTTTATAACCGTCGTTGAACAGATGATCCAATTTTTAGGTTTACGACTTCTAATGTTTAACTCCGTAGCCTTGTAATTTTGAACCAATCCAGAAGACAACGTAATTCCTGGATTAGTACCCCCAGAGGTATGATTTGTTATGGGAACATGGAGGACTTTGAGACTTGACAGATTTAATGTGCATCAGTCACCATTTGCTACACGGGGAGCCTTCGACCGGAGGGGATCGAACCCACGATCCCTTGGGCATGGGCTCAGTGCCCTACCAACCAGGCTTTCCCGGCTCTGTCCAGAGGGGCTAGATTTCTACTGGTCGGCTCGCGGACGGTGTTTTATTTCTCTTCTACCACCCAAGTGTAAAACCGATGCAGGCGTTCCCCTATCCGCCACCTGGGGACGCACTTTCTAGGGGTTACAGGTTCCCCAGAGAGGGTAACATGTTAATTTCCTTAAATGTATTAATATTTTAAACAGTTTGACAAGCTTTGTATTGTAGCTTTTAAAGCGATTAATGACTGATTCTATCAACCTCATGTGTTGATTTTTTATTGTCATAATTTCAGTCTTCAAATAGTAGTGAAAAATAAATAAATGACATTATTCTTTGTGAAGCGTATAGAAAAGCTGCTGTGGTTGTTAATACAAAGATCTTATGATCACTTTGATAAGTGCCTAATAGATAATGCACAGATTATCTAGGTAGTTTGCAGGCAGTTTAAGAAATGAAGCAAATTTTTGGCACTTCAAATGATCACTCTAGTTAATCTGCACATTAGATGGGTAATCTGTAGAATAAACGATTTCTACACTTTATCGGTAGCAAAGCAGTTAGAACAGTTTGGAACCGTCGGGACGTTAAAATTTACTGCAAACGTTATTTGGCGTAGTTTGAAGCAATTTATCGTTTAAATTAAACTGCGAGTACTAATTTAAGAGATTAAAAACGTTGACTTCTGTTCTCATAAAGGCTTGTTGAATATTTATTGCTACTTTTAAAGATACCATGAGAATAAACCATAATGTTTTTTATTTTTAAATAATTTTTGAAAAAAAATGATCTTAATTAAATATTTTACCAATTGTATCAGCTTCTCATGCATAGCAGTATAACTAACAAGATTTGTTTGACGAAATTACAGATTTTAGTACTAAATCATTCAATATTTCCAAATGTTCTTAAAGTTTTGCCACGTTCTGTTGGAATTTCGTTTTCATTAAGAATTGATTGAAAATTAGAAGCAAAAAATGGGCTTGGAAATAACAATCGCCGGCTCAATAGTTCCAAGAAATGTAGAAATCAGAGCTGTGTAGTGGGTAGTTGAAACGTTCAACTCCAAATCTGATTCCGAGCTTATCTGAGAGCTCGACTGAGATTTAGATTTATACTCAATTCAAATTTCCACCAAATCTCACACTGAGAAAAAAACTATGGTCAAAACTACCAGAATATGGTTTTATTTACTTAGTTTCTGGCTCTATAGGAACAACAAGAAGCTCGATAACTTTTACCGAAGCGCTTTGGTACTAATTTTGGTACAATTAACAATAACATATGGTTTATAAAACGTATCTCCATAATAGTGCGACTCCAAATCCAATTCCGAACTTCCTGGAAGCTTGTACAGACTCAGGTTTATACTAAAAAAAATTCCATTAAATACCACTCTAAGAAAAAAAATAAGGTCAAAACTACCAGAATATGGTTAAATTTACCGCGTTCTTGACACTACTTTCCACAGTGTCAGGAAAAGCAAAAACCTCGGTAATTTTTACTGAAGTGTTTTGGTTCTGATTCTAATAAAATTAACAATAATATATAGTTTTATATCTGATAAAAATTGGAAAATTTAGTAAAATTTAGAAATTTTATCACAGTATCTTAGAGCATGGCATTAAAAACATTTACCAGAAATAAAGGTCAGAATTTCCGGTGAATCATAGCCATATAAACGGAAAAATTACCAAATGAATGTTTTTTTTTTATACATTTTTATATATTTTGAAGTATATTTCGACTATATTAACGTATATTTTGACTATATTAACAAGAAAAAAATATATTTTCTTGTTAACCATGTATTCTTGTGTACCATGTAATACGGTGATTTTACCAGAACTTTTTTTTCAGTTGCGAGGTAGCTTAAAACATAATTTATTTTAATTCCCTGACCATCAACTAACCTTTCTCTTACCCGGGGAAGAAAAAAAACTTCATTCAAAATACACAACCCATCGCCGTCAAGTTTAAGTTATGAATGAAAATATCTCACGTCCTTCACCGTCAGAAATAGTCATCCACGATGAATTATAATTCGCCTCTT